CCATTCACCCCGAACCTCAAGGCTGTAGTCCTAGTACCCCTAAGGGTTGGATCATATGTAGAATTGGCTATGCCTGTTTAAGTTTATTTAATTCAGTGGGCCAAGGCACTTCTACCTCTGCCCAGGGCCGTCTTAACAGCATTATGGGCCCCTACGACAACTACTCACAGGAATAAAGATGTAAAAATGAAGGGTTAACATACACAGATTAGTATGGGGCCCACGGGCAAGTGCCCATCAGGCCCATGCATTAAGACAGCCCTGCCTCTGCCTAATGGCAGGATGTTGTTTTGATGACAGTCTCCTTGACAACAGAGAGATCCGTCTCTGCACAAAAGTGATTAGGCATCTGCGATAAGGCTAATGCTAAACATATTTAAATTGCTGGATTTCCTTCTGAGCAAAGATAGATGACAACATAAGCCGTTCAAGGCTGAAGGAGATGAAAGGAAGGAGCTGGGTCATTCCACCGGCTCTGCTGAAGACCCACCTCCATGAAGGCTTCTCCTCCCTCAGCACCAACAGCCAGTCCCGCAGCTGCACAGGGAGATGAGAGAGGTAAGCTGGGCCTCTCCACCAACCTGGACAAAGAACTGAACTGTTTTCCTTTCCCCTCTCCATTCCCTTTTCTTTGTGTAGCCATGGACTGTTCTGTTTCACTGATTATAAGTGACCCATTCCAGAAATCCTTTGGGTTATTATGTGGCATATAAAGCTGTATACAATTAAATTTTATGTTAACTTTTGCTTGTAAGTTTAAAGGCAATAAATGGAATTTAGGCCACAACTGCCTTTGCACATCTTCCTAAGGTAACCCCAGTGGCCTCTTCGTGTTGCCAGAACTTGAAATTAAAAATAGTGTTGGCTCTGGGGTTAAAGCCAAGAAAATACGTCAGCTTAAGGTGCAGCAGTCCAACTGGATGGGCTGGAATGCTTACAAACTCTCTGGGTTTACACCCATGCATTAGACAGATACTTCTTTTCCTCAGTCCTGCTGCACATCTGTAGAGTATTGTACTTTTATAACTGTTCTGCAGTGGTTTGGGAGGCTGTGGAAAATGTAAATGGCATGCAAGGAGCGCCACTTAGCTGCACCCTCATCCCCAGCACAACTGCAGGAGCGGCAGGACCAGAGAAGGGGGGAAATTTAGGAGAGCACTGACAGTTATGGGCAGCTTTAGCATTACCACCACCATCACCACCACCACTGCATGGCATTTATAGCCTACTTGTTTCCTTTTGCAACAAAACCGAGGCAGCTTACACAATGCTCCTCCACCTCTCCATGTTACCTCACAAAACCCCTAGCTTAGGCTGACTGACTGGCCCAAACTCATGTAATGAACAAGTGGAGAGTCAAACTCAGGTCTCCCAGCTCCCCTGCTGAACACTCTAACCACCTCCATCTAAAAAGCGCAAAGAAACAGGTTCTCATGGGTTTTAGAGCTCTAGAACTTCTTAGAAATACATCTTCCAATGCTATCTCTGTCTTGAGCTTCAGCCTTATCTCAGCCACAGTTTCAACCACGTGGTGGCCGACCCAAGGGGTATGGAGGGAACAGAGATGTCTGTGAGCCACCCCTGCACTGTCTCAGTGCTGCAGTTATTAGTGCCACAAATGCATAACGCAGGCACTGGGCTACCTCGAGCAGAGCAGCTAATGGGGGCCCCTCCTCTGCAGCTCCACCCTCCATCAGTATACACAGTACTGGAGACTAGCCAAGTTGTTTTGGCACCCGAAATGGGGGGGGGGGGGACTCTCACAAGCACCTTTACTGCTTCACACCTGTAGAGATGCAACAATAATGAATTAAAGAACTAACCAGAGACTGCTTTTTTATAACACTCAGAATCAAGTGCCTCACTCTGCCTATGGTAGATCCAGTCCTTGTGAGGTCCATCAGACAGCACTGAGGAGTGAACTGTTAAGGACAGGGTATAGCTATTGATTGGGCTGGCAGGTGGGACAGGTAAGATGACCCACTTCCAAATGATTGTTAGGAATAACTTGCTTACTTGTTGTGCTGTGTCAAGAAACCTACATTTAAAAGAAAGTCATACTAGCTGACACTCTGTACCTGTAGTTTAATGATGAGCAGGGCCAGTTCAAAGGAATATAGAAGAAATTTGCATGTATTTCAGAAAAGTATATGAATCACAGCTCAGTTATTCTTCAACATTAATTATCCCAATTTACAATAGTTACCCAATAATAATAATAATAATAATAATAATAATAATATATAATGTAAAAACTGAGGAAACCCCACAGAGTATAAAAACTTTTGAAATAACATCAATATATAAAGAAAATTTCTGGCAAAATATGTTTTACATGCGATAATCCCATATAAAGATGTAGAGACATGCCCCCATGCAAGCAACTCTTCATGCAAACTTTTTTAAATTCTCAAAATTTGAGGTGAGCCAATCATAAGACTGGGAGCAATGAAAAACTGGGAGTAATTGAAATTGGCAAACTGATTCGTCTCTCATTTCAGATACCAGCTTTAAGCAATGGAAGGGACTTTCATAGAATCATGGAATAGTCAAGTTGGGCCATCGGGTCCAAGTGCCTGCTCAGTGCAGGGCTCCAAGTTAAAACATCCCTCCCCAGTGACTGTCCAGCTGCATCTTGAATACCTCCAGTGTAGGACAGCCCACAACCTCCCTAGGTCATCAGTTCCATTGTCATATAGTTCTAACAGTAAAGAAGTTCTTCCTGATTTCTAGTCAGAATCTGGCTTGCTGTAAATTGGCCTGTTATTCTGTGCCCTGCATTCTGGGATGATCAAGAAGGGATCCTGACCTTCCTCTTTGTGACAGCCTTTCAAGTACTTGTAGAGTGTGATCATATCACCCCTCATTCTTCTCTTCTTGAGGCTAAGCATGCCCAGTTCTTTCAATCTCTGTTCATAGGGCTTTGTTTCTGGTCCCTGCATCATCCTTGTTGCCTTCCTCTGAACCCTCTCTAGCTTGACTTCATCTTTCCTAAACTCTGCTGCCCAAAATTGGACACAGTACTCCAGATGAGGCCTAACCAATGCTGAGTAAAGGGGAACAAGTACTTCACTTTATTTGGGAGTGATACTTCTATTAATGCAGCCTAAATTAGCATTTGCCCTTTTTGCAGCCACATCACACTGTTAACTCATATTCAACTTGTGATTTACAACAACTCCAAGATCCTTTTCACTTGCAGCATTGTTGAGCCAAGTACTCCCAGTCCTGTAGTGATGCATTTGGTTTCTTTTTCCTAGGAGTAGAACTTGACATATGTCCCTATTGTTGTTTTCAGCCAAGAGCTCCAACCTTGAATCTTTTTTCTGTTTTCCAGGTTATTGACCATCCCACCCAGTTTTATATCATCTGCAAATCTGATAATCATTTCCTGCACTTCCTCATCAAATCATTAATCAACATGTGGAGCAGCACTGGGCCTAGCACTGAGCCCTGTGGTCCCCCTCTTGTTTCCTCTCTGCAGCCTGAGAAGGTGCCATTGATAAGCACTTTTTGAGTCTGATTCTGTAGCCAACTGTGGATGAAGAGCAAGAAGGTAAGAAAGACAAGGATGTGTTTCTTCTGAGCTCTGACTGAAGAGCCGATCCATCAAAGACTTGAGACTAGCATCTGTATGTGGAATAAGGGAGGATTGCTGAACTAGTTTTTCATGTTCTAGAAATCTTTTCTGTTCCTCATGATTCACCACTCCATTCCCATCCCTCAGTGAAACAGAGAAGCCAAAATGTGTGACTCACTAAGAAATGTCACACTGAAATTGTGTGCAATATTCAGAGCAGCCTTGCCCAATCTGATGCCCTCTTCCCCAACCAACCTATCAAGAAGACACCAGGCTGGGGTGATTTAGGATGCAAATGGATGGGCTGGTCCTTGATTGTCATAAGCCCTTCAGTGTGGAAGCTTAGGATCATTTTATGTAGAGCCAGAGGATCAGTAGAGAGGATCTTCTCCTCATCCTCAGTCCCTGCATTTTTCTTAGGCGACTTTTTTGCCCATCTAGCCAGAGCATTTTGGAGGGGGAGGGCAGGAAACTGGAGGATTAGCATTGCTCACATCCTGGTTTCTCCCCTCTCAGCCACTATCACATTCTCTTTTATGCCTTTTTCGATCTTGGAAGATAGACAGCTCACTTCTATCTGAATCAGTTTTTAGGGGAAGCCGGGGAGGCTTTCCTCTGATTCCATGCTCCAAGATTGGAATACTGTGTGACATCAGACCAAGGAATCCAGACTATCCTATGGCTCTTCAGATGCTGGTTAGGGGCCATAGGTTTGCTCCCTTAGAGGATACAGGCGGGCAAAAAGAAAACACCTGCTGTAAAAGGCAGCTGAGTTCACTGGGCATTTGTCCTGCATATGTTCCAGTAGAGTAAATAATTGCCAGGCATGGTCTGTTTTTGCTATTTATGTGCATTATATTGTGTCTGCAAATGTCAGTATACTCTTTATTAATAATATTTATGTACTGCTTTATATATTACAATATCTAAGTGCTTTGCATGGAATAATACTAGAAACACTTTTAAAATGCACATATAATACCATATAGCATGGTATTGCTACAGTTTGAAACAGCATACATTACAGTTTGAAACAGCATAAATACATAATCATAATAATTTACAAGCCACTGAAAATAGGACAGTAATCTAATAATTCTGGCATTTCAGATTTTGCAGTTTTGTTCCCATTCCTACTTTTAAAAGTTAAATAAGAATTTTAAAAACCCTGGACAACTGTCAGTTCATTGCTTCTGATATTTTGAAAGCTTGCTTCAACATAACCTCTAATTCTAGGTTGCTTCACTGACAAAGTGAGCCAACTCTCTCTGTGTTGTAACTTGCACTAGGCTGTGAGAGCCTCCAGTAAACCGTCACTTACCTTTGTCTCACTGGGCTGGGCCTGTGAAGGCACAATCGGTTTTCTACGTGCCTGATTAAAAAAGGCCATACAGCAAGCACAAGGAGCACTTGTGGAGAATGGACAGTCCTGGAGTCTTTCTGAGCATGCAGCTTAAGGGCTTTTCAAATTAAATTTTATAACTTTAAGGAAATCAAAGGGCAATTCAAAGTCAAGAACCTGCTAGTTCAGCAAGGAGCAAAGGATTCCAGCCGGATTCCAAAGCAAAACCATGGGAATATTATACTCACAGGTATGTACCCAAACGTTTCCTCGACTGCTTTCTACAGCAGCAGATACTATGTACAGAACTCATTTCAACCTGTATCAAAGGATTTTAAAATCCTGTTCAAATACCTTTATTTGATCTAGAGATTACCTTTAAAACTTGATCTTGAGGTGTAAGGTGCAATAATAGTGAGTGGAATATGCAACAGGTCTACTGTGAATTAATGAGACATAAAGGTGAATTGAAGGACTATTGTGACTTTTGGCAATTGTCAAATGGGGAAAATATGAATAAGATGTTCTTTTTCAGCATTCTCAAGCCAGGATTTTCTGCAGATATTTGTTAATGAGAGAGGGGAGAGAAAAGTGATTGTTTTTCTTTCTGTTCACCTAAGTCCCTCACAGCATTAAAGTCTGGGTGTTGGGAGCTTTAAATTGGTTTATGAATTAATAGAACATGCTGACAATTGTTTGCCATTACAGAAAGGAAAATGGCTCTGTGGAAAATTATATATCTGGTTATTGTGTAACTCTCTAATATCTAAACTGGTCCCTCTGAGGGTGAACTTGGGTGGCTGAGTGCAGACAGGGCTGGAGCCAAAAAAAGTCACTAACAAAGAACAAGGAATTGGCTGTATGAGTTCCAACGTGTAGGGAAATACAAAGTCCACCCACCCCCCGCCCCACAACAGCCCCTACCAGCCAGTGAGGACTGGGCAGAATGTAAAGTTTAGTGTTGCCTGAAAAAGAAACGTGAGAAACTTGCACGTGGTGGTGGTGGTTGTAATACCAAATCAATTTGCTGGAGCCCATGTAGTATCCTGGAGAAAGTAATGGCCGGGGACAGCGAGATGATATGCCCCCTGACAAGGAGCATTTCTATTTCAGAGTGAAGGATGTATTGCTTGCAGGTCCCAATTGCATAAATTAGAAGTTTAAATAATAACTAACTGGTATGTATGTACTTTTGTTGTAGTACTGCTGTACCCATAAAGAAAAACCTGTCTCTTTATCTAAAAGGGGCATTATAAGGACTGCAACGCATGTGCGTGCGTGTGTTGGGGGGAGAGTGCAATGGGGAGGAGGCCATTATGACATCTTTACACATACCCAGGAGCTTGTAAACATATCCAGCTGGGCTGCATTCTGTTCCAGAAAATAAACTGGGTTTCTGATATTTTAATCTAGTCACCACGTTCTTTGTTTTACTCACGTTTTTAAAGTGCAAAAGAAGGAATTCTTAGTATATTTTGGAACTGTGTAATATGCAGTCAAGTGCATGCGTAGAACATCGATTTTTTTCTAGTCAAATGGAGGCTAGGGAACACACCCCACCAATATATGTTATCTCTTATGTGTTGCCTGATAATGAAATGCTTTTTTAAAAAATCTCAGTAAATGTTCATATAGTAAGCTATTTAAAAATAGACATATCCAGAAGCAGACCAGCAAGTGTATACAAGAGCAGGTCTGTCAGCACTAAACGATGGATCTTTATTTAAAGCATTTATAATCCATTCTTCAGCTGGAAAGGCTCACAAAAACAATGTATTACTCTGGATTTCACGGCAATAAAAGCAATATAGTTCCTACATTAAGGATTACACTCTTAAAAAACAAGACTTAAAAGAAAAAAGGATAGGGAAGGAAATGGTATCAGAAAACATTGGTATCAGTTCTTAATATTATATGGTTCTTATATTGACCAACAATGGAGCAGAACAATAAACAATCAGACCACCTTTTCTTTTTCATCCTTTTCCACTCTCTTAGATGCCTCAGGAAAGCCAATTATGTTCAATTCGTATGCACCTCTCAATGATTTCTAGGTTTTGTAATTTTCTTGACGTTTGCAGGATGATACATAATTGTGCACTGAATGACATTACCCACAATATGTCAACCTCCAATATCAAAAACTATTTTGCATTCTAGAATTTCAGTGGGCAGAGAATAATGAGATTCTGTAATGATTAATTTCCACTTTTTTTCAGCACCCTATTGGGTCTTTGATACTGATGAATTAGATGGTGTGGGCATGTTTGCACATTAAGTTTCAGTCTTATTGCTGTTAAATGCATATGGCCCCTACATAGGATGGAATCTGCAATATATGGTTGTTTTGTGTCAGTATATTGCTCGATTTTATCCAACAGATCTAAAGGAAGAAAGGGGAAAGCAAGAATGGCAATATGCATGGACAAATATTTACCATTTCTCCGGCCAACCCAAAGCATTCTGTCTGAGGCAGCAAGCTGTTGCCTTTTTACAGTCGCTATTGCTATAAATCCATTTAAAGTTGGTGAGTGTCCTCTTTTGTGGTAGCCCTGCAATATAGAATGGCTGAATAAGAATTTTAGGTACTTGACTCATATTTACTCATTTACTTCAGGACTATGCATCCATTCTACACAGCAATATGTGGTTGACCAAAAAAACAGGAAGTGCCAAACATGAGGCCAAAGAGCTACATAAAATTTTATTATGCCAATTTATATGTATAGATGGAATTGAGAAAAAAATCACTATAGTTTAAATAAAAACACACTGCATCTTAATACAGTAGGAACGATGTTGGGCTAGTAGCTACTCTACTGGATTTCAGGCAGGAATCTTTGGCAGTGCTGGGACAGAACCCAGGACCATCTAAACACAAAGCATGTGCTCTGGCACTGAGCCATGGCGGCATACAGGTATGTGAGAGGGTGTCACACGGAGGTGGGTAGAGACCTGTCCTCCCTTGCAGAGGAGGGCAGTACACGCTCCCAACGCAGCGAAGCTCCAGGAACCAAGGTTCAATTTGGATGCCAGGAAATACTTCCTGACAGTCAGGACCCCGAGGGTGTGGAATGGGCTTCCACGAGAGGTCGTTGAGGCCCCATCGGTGCGGGTGTTCAAGGATAGGCTGGACGTCCACATGGTGGGCATGGCGTGAGCGGAGCCGGCTGGAGCTGGGGGTCAGACTAGATGGCCCAGGAGGACCCTTCTGACTCGCTCAGTTTCTATGTTTCTCAGCTGGCTGTCTAGGAGCTACTCTTTCCCTCTGGTTGTATCTTGCTGGGGTGCAGCCACCCTCCCACCTGTACCTGAGTATTGGAATGTGCATTTGTGTTGCCTCCAGGAACCTCACAAGAGCAGCAACTTCTGTGTTTGGAGGCAGGCAGTGCACATTTCAGGCGTCAATGTGCAGATGTCATATAAAGCAGAGGAATGAACAGCCAGAAGAATAGGAAGACGTAAATATGGATTATTGGAAACTGGAGTTTGGGTGTAACCCCACCTTCATCAATCCTAGCATAAAGTCATAGGTTCCCCTTCCAGGCAACAACACAAATTAATTGATCCTAGTGCTTTTATGCAAAGTACATGAATATCTGGATTTTACTGTGAAGGATATTTACATTTTAACTGTTTGAGTGAATGCAGAGGACCGAGCACCAGCTTGCCCTCCTGAATGTATATATTGCCCTCATGAAAGCTTAAAGCTGTGGTTTCTTAGTGATGCCTATAAACCTGTAAAGCTGCAAACTCAGAGGATTACAGGCATCCAATGCCAGAATTTTCCCTAGAAGCAAAAATGAGCAAAGCTAAAGCCGCCATACTTTGGACACATCATGAAAAGACAAGAGTAACTGAAAAGGACAATCATGCTGGGGAAAGTTGAAGGCAGAGGAAGACCAGGAAGACCAAACATAAGATGGGTTGACTCCATAAAAGAAGCCACAAGGAAGCTCTTGCATTTACAAGAGCTTAGCTGAGCTATAATGGACAGGATGTTTTGGAGAACTTTCATTCTCAGGGTCACCATAAGTCAGAAAAAAACTCAGGCACATAACAACAAAAATCTGGCAGCACCACTTTGTGGATTTAAACAGTAACTGCAGTCTTAACATTGTGTCTGCCATCTCACTTCTTCTTCTCATATTCCTAAAACTTGTGGCGGAGGTGATGTATTAGATATATGATTCTGGCACTAGTTATTCACCTATGTTTGTGGACTGTGACCATAATGAACAATTCATTCAATCATTCATTATAATTATATTAATTAGTAATAGGCAAATCCTCAGGTTGATTTGTTTCTCCTAGGAAGGGGTTGCCTTTAGAGAGATGGCTTTGTGTTCTCTTAGTGCAGGCTCCTTACATGTATCAACCCGCATAGTAGAGCCTCCTTTTCAATTTCCCTTCAGGACTGTTTCAAGGCATTTTGGTGCCTAAGGAAGGAACAGTTTTATTCCCTCCATATGATACAATTCCTGGAGTGGGTGGGGGAGGAACATTAGTTTCTAGAAGGGTTTAGTGCAAATGGATGAGACTTCCTAAGGGGTGTGCCTATGCTCACATATGTTAAAGAGGCTGTAAAGAAACAATGGCCAGTTCACTATCATGGAACTGCTAGGCTGCTGTGTCTGAAGCATAATAATTCAACTCTTGCATATATCAGAGACACAACATTATTCAGGAGAGCCTTTCCCAACCTGCTGGTGCCCTTTAGCTGTCTTGGTCTACATCTCCCACAGTATCCCCCTCAGCCAGATTGGCCAGTGCCACACTGGCTCAAAATGATCTTTTTTTTAAAAAAACCCTTTTTATTATGCAACTTTGACAAAAGAAAAAGAGTGGCTATATACCTTGAATATATCTATTTCAATGCATGTAATTAAATATTTGTGTATAAAATACAGGTTTCTAAGAACTATACATAAACTTCAGCAAACGCAGACAAAAATCAAAATAAATCTCCATTAGCAGGTGGTATCTGTACAATGCCTGTTCAAATGCTGAAACTAGTTCTAAAGTCTTCAATACATTGCATTATAGGAGGTGATCATTTATCCTTCCATCATTGTAATCACAGTCTTTTAGCTGTCAAAGGATGCAGATAATCCATTTGTGGTGACCATGTGTTAACTTCCAGGAAGAAGGCAGATCATTTAAAAAAGCATGTACATCAGTGAATATGAAGGAGTTTTCCAATACAAAATGTAACTGTATAATGACCTCCTTCCAGAAAAGGGGCAAGTGCTGGACTTTGTTACAACATAGCCTAAAAGAAGCATTAACTTTGTTACACTTCTAACAGAAGACTTAAGAAAAGCCTTATTAAAGAGATGTTTCTGTATTCCAGAAACATATGAGATCAGTTTTTGCTGGATAAGATGTAACCTGAGATCTATAGATGTATCAGACACAGGTTATGCTGGGTCAGGAATGGTGGGAAATACATATGAAGACCTAGAGAACCAGACTTAATATATAGGTTCCGCCTAGTCTCTCCTTTGGTTCCCTTTCCCAGTGCTTTTGATATGGAAACTTGCTTTATGGTTCTTGGCTAAACAGACTTGGATGCTAGAGTTTAATGTCACTTTTAGATTTAAATGGAACCAGTGCAGAAGCTGTGTTTGAAGTTTGTCCTTTCAGAGCTTTGAAGTGCAAAGGCAAATGAAACAGAAAATGTTCACTGCTGACATACTTAATGTTTCTTAATGGCTTCCGCTTACCTGAGCTTTTATCAGTCTGCCACCTCACTAGGCTGCCCTGAAGTCAATGGTGTGAGTCATTTCCTGAGGCAGCTGCCCTCTCCCCAGGCTCTTTCATTGTAACCATTTCCAGAGGGGAAGTCATGCTCCTTTCTTGTAGCCAAGACAACAAAAGATCCTGTGGCACACATTTAAACTGGAGTGAGTGCTAACAGCATCCACGCTTGTCTTTAAGATGCCAGACATTCTAGTAGCAGTCCAAGGAAAGTGACAATCAGAAAGCACCCGTCGCAATCCTGGAACCAGCTTTAATTGATAGGTAGATGGTGTATAATCTGATACCCACAAATAGGGGTTCTTAATCACAGGTCAGCATGCTACTGAGGAAAGAAATGGGAGGGCACCATTTTCTGTTCTTGTTCTATAAAAAAAACTAGTTTTGTTTTTTTAAGTAAGAATGCACACTTGTTCTTTATTGAATTCTTTTTCAAGAGAGCCAGTTCACAAGGCCTCTTAACTTGGGTTGACAGCTGTTTTCAGCTGGCAGAGACCTGAGTGCTTCAAGGCACAGCCAGATTCCTATGGAATGTATGTTGAGCCATGCTGGAAACATTGCACAGTTCCATTCTTGAGGCTTCTAGGTGGGTGGTGGGGCATTGAACCAAACTCTGCCTAAACAAAAAGCTCTCTCGACCCAGAGCTTTCATTGGAAGCTCAGGTGACAGCAGTGGCGAGGAGCGCTTTCCTTCAACTTCGGCTGATCCATCAGCTGTGCCCCTACCTGGAGTACGACTGCCTGGCGACAGTGACACACGCGCTGGTGACTTCCAGCCTTGACTTCTGTAACGCGCTCTACGTGGGGCTACCCTTGAAGACGGTCCGGATACTTCAATTGGTTCTAAATAGAGCTGCCAGGCTGCTGACGGGGACTGGGCATTATGTTCACATGACTCCAGTCCTCCGTCAGCTTCACTGGCTTCCCATTGAAGTCCGGGCCCAATTCAAGGTGTTGGTGATGACCTATAAAGCCCTAAACGGCTTGGATCCTGGTTACCTGAAGGAGCGCTTACATCCATATATGCCCGCCCGCCCCCTGAGATCTGCGGGAGAGGCTCTTCTCCAGGAACCCTCCATGAAGGAAATTAGGAGGGTGAGTACTCGGAGAAGGGCTTTCTCTGCGGTGGCGCCCAATCTATGGAATGCGCTCCCCAGAGAGGTCCGCCTGGCGCCATCATTATTTGTTTTTCGGTGCCAGGCGAAGACCTTTTTATTCAAATGTCATTTTAACTGTTAATACTATTTATTTATTTCATTCTTCGGCCAGGGCGACTTATATTGTTAACTTGTTTTATATTTTTATTGCATTATATTTTAATTGATATCTTTGTGAGCCTCCCCGAGGCTTCAGCGAATGGGGTGGCATAAAAATTTTCTAAATAAATAAATAAATGAACAAACAAACACCACTCACTGGATACCTGCAACAAATCAACTGGTTATCACAACATGTCTAAGGTAATCAGAAAGATTGTTAAACCCAACAAGCTTTGTAAACATGCTCTTCATTTCTGTCCTCTCCCTTTTTAGCCCATTTGCCAGGCAGCTTATAACAATGATTTCAATGAAGTTCAGCTTTTGTTGGAAGAAGACCGCAATAACCTCAACATCCAGGACAGGTTTAGCGGAGACACTCCATTGATCTGTGCCTGCAGAAAGGGCCACAACAGAATAGTCAGCTATCTCCTGAAAAGGAATGCTGATGTGAACATGAAAAACAAGGTGAGTAATAGCAACCGTGTAATCAGTATGGTCTTACTGAGCTTCTGTCAAGAAAAGGAGGAGAGGCCCTGCCCTCTCATGATGCAACTGGCTTCATTTCTCTATCGCCATAGCATAGCCACCCTGTTCCAAAGACTTTGGGTGCTGAGCTCAGAGGTGTTGCACTGGGCTGTCCTACTGATGTCATTGGAGTGAGACCGCGGACTCGTGCATGCAAAGGTGTGTACGGGGGGTTGGTCACTCCCACGGAAATGGATGGAATGAGCAGCAAGGTATCCCTAGTGGTACTTTTCAGAAATCATTGGTCTAGAGGGAAAGTTACATTTTTGAATGAATATTGCATAGGAGGAGTGGTGCTGGATAGAAAATGTAAATACAGATAGGCCTTTTCATGTTTCTTTAAAAACATGTTCAAGGTAAAATTGGAATCATTTTGCTGTGCCTTGCCCGAATAAGAACGTACGATCCCTCCCTTTCTCCCTGTCTACTAGTAACTTTGCATTTGTTCCTGGAGTTTGATTTTTACATCAGTTCTTTTGCAGTTGGAGCCCATTCATACATTATGTTAAGGGCATAATGCTATTTAAGTTTACACAGAAAAAAGTCCTGTACAAGTCTCTTTGTCTAAACATGCATAGGATTGTACCCCAAGTCATGCATTTTTCATGCTGCAAGTTTTTACTTTGTAGTTGCACATAAATACTTTTTGGAGTCACTTTGAATGACAAGTGAAAGAGCATTCAAATATATTACATAATCCCAGGTTGAATTTCTGCTTCATGCTTTACAATACATAAACACTGAAAACACTGGTAATTCTTTACACACTCTTGTATATCTGTGAATATTGTCCCTTAATCAAAGATTATGTTGATGATAGATTATCAAGGTTATAGACTGATAGCAAATCAGACAGCATGTGAGTCTTTTTTGGACTCATCATTACAAAGCCCTTGAAGGACCACCAGCTTTTCTGGTCTGCAAGACTTATTGTTTCAATAGGACTGCATATGAGTTAAGCACGATCTCCTGCAGGAGCCCCATGGGCAATTCTTGCTATTGGAAGGTAGTGAAAACCCTCTCCAGAGACATCTATCCATCTATGTCTATGAAAAGATTAAAAGTCTTTAATTGTAATTACTCCTCCATTTCTTTTTAGAAAGAACGAACATGCTTGCATTATGCTGTCAAAAAACGGTTCAGCTTGCTTGACTACCTGCTCATTATCATCTTGATGCCAGTTATGCTTATCGGTTATCTCCTCATGGTAAGTTCAGTGAAAAACAAGGGTGAAATTGTGTTTCTCTGTGCTCTCTCTTGAACTTCCAGGCATGTTTTCTGCAATAACATATTTTATGTGTTCATCTATTTCAATATGCTCTTATTCTGACACTATTTTATTACCCTAGGCATTAGAAAAAGAGAAATTAACTCAGCTGCATAATTCCTGTAGTATACTATACTCTTGCACTTGTTTGGTTCATAGTTACATTTGAGTGCACACTAGAATCAATTAGCACCAGAATGAATTTCTTTGCATCATGTTAGGCAGAACTGTGAAGTCAAATGGGCCTTAGGAAGTCTGAGCGACAACAAAGCTAGTGGAGGTGACAGTATTCCAGCTGAGCTATTCAAAATCTTAAAAGACAATGCAGTAAAAGTGCTACACTCAATATGCCAGCAAATTTGGAAAACTCAACAGTGGCCGCAGGATTGGAAAAGGTCAGTTTCCATTCCCATCCCAAAGAAGGGCAATGCCAAAGAATGTTCAAACTACCGCACCATTGCTCTCATTTCACATGCCAACATACGCTGGATCATGGAGAAAGCTAGGGAGTTCCAGAAAAACGTCTACTTCTGCTTCATTGACTATGCTAAAGCCTTTGATTGTGTGGATCACAACCAATTGTGGAAAGTTCTTAAAGAGATGGGAGAACCAGACCATCTTATTTGTCTCTTGAGAAACCTATAAGTGGGTCAAGAAGCAACAGTGAGAACTGGACACGGAACCACTGATTGGTTCAAAATTGAGAAAGGAGTTCGGCAAGGCTGTGTACTGTCACCCTGCCTATTTAACTTATATGCAGAGCACATCATGAGAAAGGTGGGGCTAGATGAATCACCAGTTGGAATTAAGACTGCTGGGAGAAATATCAACAACCTCAGATATGCAGATGATACCACTCTAATGGCAGAAAGTGAAGAGGAACTAAAGAGCCTCTTGATGCGGGTGAAGGAGGAGAGTGCAAAGTTGGCTTGAAATGCAACATTAAGAAAACTAAGATCATGGCATCCAGTCCTCTCACTTCCCGGCAAATAGATGGGGAAGAAATGGAGGTAGTGACAGATTTTATTTTCCTGGGCTCCAAGTTTACTGCATACGGAGACTGCAGCCAAGAAATTAAAAGACGCTTGCTCCTGGGGAGGAAAGTTATGGCAAACCTAGATAGCATACTAAAAAGCAGAGACATCACCCTGCCAACAAAAGTGCGTATAGTCAAGGCTATGGTTTTCCCAGTTGCAATGTATGGCTGTGAAAGCTGGACCATAAGGAAGGCTGAGTGCCAAAGAATTGAGGCCTTTGAATTGTGGTGCTGGAGGAGACTCCTGTGAGTCCCTTGGACTGCAAGGCGATCAAACTGGTCAGTCCTAGAGGAGATCAACCCTGACTGCTCTTTAGAAGGCCAGATACTGAAGATGAAACTCAAATATTTTGGTCACCTAATGAGAAGGAAGGACTCCCTGGAGAAGAGACTAATGCTGGGAACAATAGATGGCAAAAGAAGAAGGGGGTGGCAGAGAATGAGGTGACTGGATGGAGTCACTGAAGCAGTTGGTGTGAGCTTGGGTGGACTCCGGGGGATGGTGGAGGACAGGAAGGCCTGGAGGAATGTTGCCATGGGGTCGTGATGGGTCTGACACAATTTCGTAACAACAACAACAACACGCAGAACATGTCCTATTTTCCTGGATGCCAGTGTTTAGTTCTCATGCAATTGTCACATATGATGACTGCATAAAATTACATATTTTCTAAAATGACAATATACACCAGGAAGCCACATGGCCAATCACAGCTTTCAAGTACATAGGAATGCATGTGAAAACATCCTTCATGTACACCTGATGTAGAAAATACCTTAAATAATTGTACAGATATCAGTGAAACATACTTCTAAGTATATGGGTATAGGATGGGTTCAGGGGGTGCTGAAAGGATTCATAAATGTTAATTACCTTGAACATTGAACTCAAAGGACTTGAAGATCAAATTCATGAAGAAAATGGCTTATTTCTGTCAGTGGCAAATACTGGAAAGCTTCAGAGAATTAAAAATATTTGGTACAATGATTTCCTTAAAATGGTAAATTAGTGCTACATCACAATTTGGATAATTGCATAGAAGAAAGTTTTCATTATCTGACTATGTGGCATGACAGTGAATCTAATATAAATGTTCCTTTTATCAATAACCAGATTTGTACAACTTTCTAACCCAACCTGCAAATAAGGTATACAGCCATAAATAACCCAACTGATGTCCAAATTCTCTGTGGCTTAATTTCCCATACCTTTCCTTCCCACTTGGTCTTCAAGCAAGCAACCCATTATCCTGTGAGGCAGAACCCATGTTGTCTCTTCTCCCTGCTTTGATAACCACTGAAGCTGCAAAAAATGTGCAGTTCTGTTCATTTTTTAAGTCAGTTTTTGTCAAATATTTCACTTTTTTACCCCATCTGTGGTCCATTTTCTACTCCATCTCTTATAAACAGGTATCCAAAACTAAGCAGAATGAAAACCTCATCAAGATGTTGCTGAGAGCTGGTGCAGATGTTAATGCTGCAGACAATGTAAGTGGACTAATGTGTGCACAGAGGGTTCTAGGACTGCATCTGCATTTAATTATTTAACTTTAAAATAAGAGAATTCTTCAGAAAGATACTGGGGGACATAATTACTTGATGGAGTGTAGTTCCCAGTGACATTGGATAGAGAAGAAAAGAGAGCTTTTCTCAATGGGCCTATTGGAGCATCCGTGCCCCCCACCCCCACCCTGCCACACACACACACACACACACACACACACACACACACACACAATGATGGCCGGAACAATACTGCTTCACCATAGATGTTCCCAGTGCTATTATTAAAAAGATGCAGTGCCTTGACTTCATTTAAGGTAAAAGAAAGAAAGAGATGGGCACCACACACGGCCACTCGAGGAAGCAACCCCTCACCCAGTGTCACTTGCCTGTTTGTGATCTTTGTGAAGCATTTTGTCCCTCATTCACTCATTAATTGACTCATTAAAACCACCAGATAGCCCACTGGTGAAATGTTTGGTTCAGATATTTTTAAAGATCTGGGCAACTGGAAGAAGCTGCTTAATTTCCTTTCCTCTTTTGACTGGCAAATGCCAAAGAGTTATATGAAAAAGTAGATCAGATTAGCAGATACACATCACAGCTAGAGAGCTAGTGAGAACTGTTCTCTCCTTTGCCTAGGAAAAAGAAAGATGCATTAATGAGGGTGCATATTAAGACATGATGGCTGCAACTTTTGTCTGAAGCTTGACCCTTGTGGTTCTTTCCAGTCAGGAAGGACAGCCCTTCACTATGCCTGTGAAATGAAGAACCAAACAATCATTCCTCTGTTAGTGGAAGCGGGTGCTGATCCTTCCATAAAGGATAAGGTAAGAAAAAACTTAAAATGGCTACAAGTATGACTGCTTTCATGAGTCCTCTGATTCATCTTTGGGTTCAGACTATATTAGCTGTTGTAGAGAACTTCTCTGTAGCTGTTCATTTCTGGAAAGGAAGGTTAGTGTTCCTTTTCACCCATGAAGGACATAAGCTGTTCATTCCACCATAACCCCACCTGTTGAGGAAAGAATTAATATTTATTCATTCATTCATTACATTTCTCTCTGGGAGGTTTACAGAAATTAAAATACTGGGAGGTTTACAAAAATTAAAATACTTCAAAATATAATATTGCACATCAAAAAGAAAAAAAAACCAGCGCTGTGCAAATGTTCTCTCAAAATTCTCCACTTTCACTGAAATTTCACTGAATTTTCCAGGGGTAGATGAAATTCTCACTATGTCAGACAGGAATTCCCACTGGTACGGTTTGCAGTTCTTTCTTTCTTTCTTTCTTTCTTTCTTTCTTTCTTTCTTTCTTTCAAAACATTACAAGTGTGTGTGTGGCAACAGCATCTTCTATTTATTTTGTGCCTCAGCTGTTAGCTTTGATGAGCTGAATCCAAAGGAAAAGTCTCCCATACAAGTAACATTGAAAGATTGGCAGTCTTGCCCCACAATACTCTTTCATATCCACAGATATGTACAAAACATTTGATTTCTGTTTGCAAATCATGTATATATGTCTCAGTCCCTCATGTGAGCAGGTGTAGGTTTTTCTTGCAAATTTCCAAATGTCTGATCACATTCAAAAATGCACTGTTCAAAATGTTTTTTTTTCAATGCGGGTTGCTTGTCAATTGGGGTAAATTGGACATTTGAAAATATGAACAGAAATGCACAGTTTTCTCATTAAAATTGGGAACTTTTACATTTGAATGAGCAAAAAAAAAAAATCAAAAACAAAAATGGGAGTGAGCTGAAACAAGTTTCAGGCTGGTTTGGGGGGATTTAGGCAAGTTTGAAAATTGCTGGTTCTCCCATTCCTGGATATTGCAAATGATCATTCCCAAATGGATTCTAACATCTTTAATTACTTTTGCTTTTGGTTTGCTTTACCTCTGTATTTCAGGAAGAAGAGACCCCACTGGAAATAGCAAGAAGACTGAAGTTTGGCAACATAGAAAACATATTGAAGAAAGACTCCTAGAACAAAATGGGATGCTATCAATGTTGCTATGAAGAAACAACTGTATTGTCAATTCATTGCAATATGTGCCATTACATTGACAACTTGATGATCTCATATTAAGAGCAGCTGACAAATTTATGCAGCACACATCACATTAAAGTGCTGCTCTGGGTTGATGGGTGATGTGGTTTGATCAGTTGGACATGTTCTATGAACATAAAGAAGTTCAATAAGTTTCATTCTCCTTTTGCAAAACTGGTATTTCTGAGAGTAAGAGCAATACTATTTATTTAAAATGAATGTTCTATCTGTAAGAGTTGCAGTTCAAAACATTCAGCAATAAAGGCTTGTTTTATACTTGTTTCCAGTCAGTCATAAGATGTATCCAGGGCACTTTAAATACAGAGAGCAAAAAGAGGGTTGGAAGACCAATATTCTTGGCCAAGAATATTCCAGCACATTAAATAAGTTCAAGATCCCAGATTGAGATGGATTGTTTCCTTGGTACTGAAGATGCTGGTGGAAGAACTCAGGGAGTTACTTGTGGAACCTCTATTACCATTGAGAAATCCTGGAGAACAGTTTACCCACTGTTTATTGCCCTTTATTTATTGCCCTTCATGAAGTTAGATGTTAATGTCCACTTCTGGATACCACAGTATAAGAAAAATTCAGATAAATGGGCACAAATTAAGGAAAGGGCAACAAAGATGATCTAAGACTAGAAGCTAAGTCTAGTGAGAAAAGATTAGAGGAACCGGGTATGTTCAGCCTTAGAAAGGGAAGACTGAGTTGAGATGTGATAGGACTGTTGAGAGACCTAAAAGGTTGTCACAGAGAAGAGGGCTACAACCTATTCTCTATCATCCAAGGGTCTAAGACATGGAAGAATGGAACCAGTTACCAGAAGCCAGTTCTTGTACATCAGGAGAAATGTCCTAGCAGTCAGATAATTTCACTATTTATGGCAATGGTGCATGTTTCATTATTATTATTATTATTATTATTATTATTATTATTATTATAACATTTCTATGCCGCCCCTTGCCGAAACCTCGGGGCGGCTTACAACACGATAAAATACAATGAAATACAATAGCACATAATAAATTACCATTAAATACAAAGTACAAAAAATACATTGGTTTACAAATATAAGATTAAAATTATCAGTATAACTTAAGTAAATAAAAATATAGGAGGAGAAAGAGAAGGAAGAAGAAGTTGCCCTGGCCAGATCATATGTTTTAACAATTCAAATGACGTTTAAATAAAAAGGTCTTTACCTGGCGCCGAAAAACCAGTAACGACGGTGCCAGGCGGACCTCTTTGGGGAGTGAATTCCATAGGTTGGGTGCCACCGCAGAGAAAGCCCTCCTCCGAGTACTTACTCTCCTAATTTCTTTCGTGGAGGGTTCCCGGAGAAGGGACTCTCCCGCAGATCTCAAAGGGTGGTCGGGCATATACGGACGTAAGCGCTTGTTCAGGTAGCCAGGACCCAAGCCGTTTAGGGCTTTATAGGTCATAATCAACACCTTGAATTGGGCCCGGGCTTCAATGGGAAGCCAGTGAAGCTGACGGAGGACTGGAGTCATGTGAGCATAACGCCCCGTCCCCGTCAGCAACCTGGCAGCTCTATTTTGCACCAATTGAAGTGTTCGGACTGTCTTCAGGGGAAGCCCCACGTAAAGCGCGTTACAGAAGTCTAGGCGGGAAGTCACCAGCGCGTGTGTCACCGTCGCCAGGCAGTCGTACTCCAGGTAGGGGCGCAGCTGATTAATCAGCCGAAGCTGAAGGAAGGCATTCCTCGCCACCGCTGTCACCTGAGCTTCCAAAGAAAGCTCTGGGTCGAGGAGTACTCCTAGGCTGCGGACCTTATCCCTAAGAGGGAGTGTTGCACCATTCAGGACCAGGTCAAATCCACCCTCTCCGAAACCCGATCTGCCAACCAACAGGACCTCTGTCCTGTCTGGGTTGAGTTTCAGTTTATTGGCCCTCATCCATTCCCTTACCTCGGCCAAGCACCGGTTCAGCACAGCCACTGCCTCACCTGGATTAGTGGAAAACGAGAGGTAAAGCTGGGTATCATCAGCGTATTGATGATTCCGCAGCCCACACCTCCTGATGACCTCTCCCAGCGGTTTCATATAGATGTTAAATAGCAGAAGCTGCATCTGTGTATAATATGTTAATAGTTCTGTTTGAATTTAGTGTTACAGTATGCTAAGTGTTAATAAGGGCTGGGCTCTTCAGAAAATGATTGCTCAAAATTTCAGAGTTGTTTCCTTTAAGAAGGAACATGTGTGACACTCAAATACTGCCTGGAACAAGATCCAGAGTACAAAATTAGTAGACTTGCTAATATATTATACTATATTATTCAGCTTGTCTGGGAATTTGTGCCTTCTGGTGTACCTAGTTTAATTTGCAAAACCTTATCCTCATTTGGGCCTAGTAGTTAAGGTCTTGTATCAGATGAAGTGACCTCATTCAGACAAAACCCACCCTTGTTAGTAATTGCTGGTGGCTTGCCATGTTGTGTAAACAGGGATCACATTACCAAAGCTGGCTTTTTTCTCAAACAAAATGCCCTGCAGGGCCCACGGGCTGTTCTAGGATCGTCACCATGAACCTGCATGCCAAGGCTGAGCCCCAACAACCCGTATGCTACTTGGTAACCTGGGGTGGCCAGTGGAAGGTCTCCTGTGTGCACAGTGGTGCAGAGCAGGCATCTTTGCAAGAGGCACAAGAGTAGAACTCCGTAGCCACTGGCAAGGATGGTCAGGATCTGCTTCTCTGTGATGAGGGGACATAGGCCGCCTTGCCAAGGAGGAACAAACCCCTCTGCCAAGAGGGAACAGGAGGCAGGGGTGTCCAATAGGCTCCTCTGCTCCCATTCTTACACTTATTTGTGCTATGGGGATGAAGAAGAAGAAGAAGAAGAAAAACTTGGTAGGGGGTGGAAAGAGTCGGAGGGTGCTCGCCTTGCTTTGGAGGAAGGCAAGTACAGTGGCTCATTCTTGGCTGCTGCTGCAGCAGGAGCAGTGGGCAGGATCCAGACACCAAGAGGGATTGATGTCCCAGCATTGACAGGGAAGCCAACAATAACCACACAAACCTTTGCATAGGCATTGTGTCTGTAATTGTCTGCTAGACACCCTTGGCAAGAGCAGCCACCCAAAGAAATATGATAGACTTATTGGTCTGGGCATGGAAAGGGTTAAATAATTTTGTTAAGAGAAGGTTGTAGATGAAATGGTTTGAATGAAGGTTTTGGGCAAACCGACAATGGTTCGAATAAGGGGTTTGGATAGGCCTGCAGGACCACCCATTCAAAAGCTTCAGATTCATATTTAAGAAGACCACAAAACTCATACCCCAGACTCCTCAACCATGGGCAAAAAGCTTCTGCAATTTATTTATCATTTATTTATTTTTTGCACTTTTCTGCTGTACCCCATAGCCTTTGGGCTTACATTACATTGCATTACATCAAAGAACAACAAAGAAAACAATCCATATAAGTAGTAAATAATAAATCAATAAAAATTAAACAGTAAAATGATAAAAATCAGCATTCACATAATAAAAAACTAGTTAAAATAATCAATTTACAACTATCCTATAAATAAAAGTGTCTGGCACTTAAAATTTCTTTTAATATGGCAGTGGCATCAATAAAACTCAAAAAATAACCCCAATAAAACCAATTCCATTTACTCACCAAAATAATTATGGAAATACATTTGGTGATTTTATATCAACTATTTTTATGCCATTATAATACCTCAAATTTCAAAGAGATGGCTTTGAAAAGAAGGAAAAAATTGCAACTGCCTTTTGGAAAAGGCTTTTTCAAAGTTTAGCATAAGGCTCTTTTTGATCATGTATAAGTTGCCAAGTAGGCGAAGCCGTGCTACAAAACACATGCACTATAACTGATAGATTTGGAGTGCTCAAAGACACCCAGCACTTCCTCTCTCCAGCCACTAGGGTGCAACATCTATCAAAATTTGAGAAGGAAAGAGGAATATCTAGAAGTAGTTGGTTGTTTCAATTGACATACAGAGACAATACACCTTTGGTTTATTTGTTTGTTTTAATTTTAGGAGAAGCTGTCTACCACCAAAACCAGTACTCTAGGTGGTCTTTGTGAATGTGAAATGGTAATACTTGTGTTGCCTGTGAATATTTGTAAATATCCCAGAAGCTTCCCAGGATAGGCTGGTATGGCTGCCAGGAATTGTCCGGTTGGGCGGATAACCAGAAGAGGGGGCAGCAATCAACTATCTAACTCCTTTCTGGCTAGTGAATCCCCCAACACCATACCTTCCCCTACCCATGAAGGACGATCTTAATATAGCTCTCATGTGGTGGACTTGAAAGGTTTGGGGAACACTTTAAGTTGTCTCACAGGGCTGTGCAGGCATTCAAATGTTCAAAAGCTTGTTAGCTCTTGATCTGAGTGTTTTGAAAACCTGACAGGTGCTTGCGGAGCATCTGCCCTTGCTGCCTTCCTTCCCCTTCTCCAAGCTGAACAACCTTGCTTTTTGTGAAAGGGGTGGAGGTTGTGGTAGAGGCAGTCCAACCCTCCTAGAAGATCAGAATATTTTCCTTGTGTGGATGGGACCAGTACTGCCGATTTTGGATTCTTTGGTCCAAGAAGAGGATGATCCCTAGATATGTTATCCTGGCAGTAGTCCCAATTCTATGCCAAGTAGGAAAACACACCTTGCCACAAAGTAATTTTTCAGGTTGTGGATTCTGAAGATGTACTCTTCAGTTGCACACTCCCACGAAAGACGAGATCTTGTGCAGAGCAGAGAGCAGATCAGATAGATATGAGATTGTTTCATGTTAGGTCAGGCCAAGACAAGTCCTTCAGAAAGCAGGGCACAAAGAAGTAAGTACATATCAGGGAAAGCCGAGGTGCTGGGCATAAAGCCTCAATGAGATTTCTGAACATTACTCCAAAAAGTCAGACCAAGACAGAAGCTTAAATAGGGAGTTACTGGCCTTTAGACTGGTTAGTTCCACCAGGGGTTGACCCTGAAAGGGCTATGGCCTGTTCAAACAACCGGAGCCTGTGGACACATGGAATAGTTGTGGGTGGCATGCTTCATAACCCAAATCTTCATAACCCAAATCCTTGGCATCTGAAGGTGGTAATGGATCCACTTCTGAATGCAGAGGGGCTTCTCCGTGGGATCCCTCTGGAGAACTGGATCCTGGTTAATAGACGTCTTGTGATGCTTTTCTATGACTTAGTCTTCTCTCACTGACACTGAAGTCTTTTCTAAGGAAAGGGGGAATCCTGTAAGCATGATGATTCAGGATGCTGGTTCATAACAGCATCCCCCACTCCCTGTGTTTATTCCTTGTGGATCCGGGCTGATTGGGAGCCAGCGGTGAAAACAACTAGCTTGAGCATTGCTTGCTAGTTGGCATGAGTGCCCTTCTGGTCTGCAGCCCTTCAAGTTGATCAAGTACTAGAGTTGCCATCATGGAAACTGGGAATCTATAACATCCTGAGCCTCATATTCTTCCTGCCCATCTATTTGCTTTCATGGCAGAAATGGCTGATATTTCGGTGGGAAGACATCCGGGAGGATAGGGATGATCCTTAATACTGGTTAGATCTTCTTAATACTGGTTAGATCTTCTTAATACTGGTTAAGACTGCTATCTGGTAGATTGCAAATGCCATGCTCCATCTTTGCCCAGAAGGATTAGGTTGCACCTGACAGCACTCTTTGATCCACCACTGTCACTGAAGGTGCATGTGGATTCTGTGGTGCAGAACATGTCTTATCTCCTTAAGTGGAGCGATCAGTGGAAACCGTATCTGAATGGAGATTGCCATGCTACAGTTAAGCATACTTTGGTTAACTAACAGAATGGCTATTCTGATTATGCCACACCAATTCTTTGCTATGTGCACTGGATGTTGTTTTCACTGGTGGCATGCCCTCTCTCAGAAAGGCCCACCTGCTTCCTGTAATAAGGCCCTTGTTTTTCCTTCTGAAGATTCTCTAGACTTACAGAATGCCTTCTAATAATTGAGCATCCTCTGAGAGTCCTTCAAAGAGAGGACTATTTCCTGTAAAGGAGGTCACATCACCACCCTACTCCATTATGTCTACAATGACTAGAAGCTTCCCTTTCGATTTGAGACAGGACTTGTCTCCAGTCCTAGCTAAAGAGGCTGGGGATTGAATCCATGATCATCTGGATGCACATCATATACTTGCTGTTGAGCCATGGCTTTTCCAGTTATGAGGTGGCTGTCTAATAGTTACACTTCCCTCTGGCTGCATCTAGCTGGGGTGCAATGACTCCTCCCCCACCCCAAACAAAAAATCCCTGAACAGTTAGTTTGGTTTATCTATGCATGTTGCTTCCCAGGGAAGCGTGGGATGGAACAATGTATATATCTGGGAGCAGGCTGAAGTTGAACGTTTGATTGCAAATGTTGATGGACATCAGATCACAACTTGTTGAGGTTTTAGTTACGGTTTGTATGACCTCTTCAGAGGTCAAGACCGCTCCCAGTGAAAGGAGCATCTGGATGGTTTCTTAATGGTTCTTGGGGATTTATTGCTGAAATGGCTGGTGGTCCTGTGGACAATCTGGTGGGAACCTTGAACTTAGAGCTTCTTCAAGTAGAAAATACTATCAGGGTGTGATAGAATGGGCAAACAAGCTATTTTGAACTCACTGAGATTGTCTGAACATCAGCTTTCCACTTCTCCTTTACTGGCTTTTGCTCATGTTTGTGATCACTACTCATTTTGCATGAACAGTAAAATTGTGCAAAACAAACAGGTACTGTATATGAAAACTGTGCAAAGTATTTCCAAGAATATACATTTCCTCTCATAGATTAAACGTGCACAGTTACACTTTCTGAGAATGAGAAGCAAATGAGGAATTTGAAAACATTTTCAAGGCATATGTGCTCCTGTTCACTTTCGTGGTTGAAGTGGCAAACAGGCCACTTTTGAGTGATTTGCAAACTGAAATTACATTCTTATACATCCGGATGAAGTCCCCACTCTCTCACAGTATGGAACTATAACTAGCCAGCAAAGGACTATTCTAGCATAACAAAAGTGGAAGTTCATTGCCACTTGGAGGTAGGGAAAGCAGACATGATATAGTGTCATTTTCAGAAACATTTCATGCAACTTCCAATCTGGTTGCCAAGCTATAGAGAACCTCATGGTGGCCTGTGCTGCTCTGAGTCATTTAAAAAAGTTAATTGAAGAACAAAAGATCCAAACCAAGCCCTCAGCCACCTTATATAGCTAGGCAAACCTGCCTTTCCCAAGCTTCACTGAAAAACCATCTGTCTGCCTGTGTTTTCATTTTTCTCACCTTCCCCGCCAATTGCCAAAAAGCTGGACCAAACCTCCTGTTAGGCGGGATTACTCTAAGCTGATCCTCCTATGGAATTTATAAAATCAAACCACTTCCCTGATATTATCAAGAGCATGTATCAATGAAGGCATTTGCCCTATGATTAAGATCCTGACCTCATTTTGACAGGTTGAGCCCATTTGATGACTTACCCTTTGCATAATGGCTTACTCATCCAATGAGTGAGTTCATATACCATTACAGCCCATCATGGATAATCACCACCTGGTTTGCTGTGAAGTGCCAAGCAGACACAACGAGCCCAGTAGACAGTTGGACTCATTGTGGCTGCTGCCCTCTGGCATCTTCCTTGTTCCTCCAGGTGATAAGGCCGCACTCAGCCACTGCAAGCCCTTTTGGCTCTGGCCTCTTGGCAGAGCAGCAGAGCAGCAGAAGCACAGGCTGGGAGAGAGTGCTGAGTGGCCGGGGGACTGGCAAAGGCAAGGCAGGAGCTGGGCAGGGGAGCAGAGGGCCAGGAGCAGC